CACGTTTCAGGTTCTCACTATACAAGTATTTCCAAATTACAGAGCAAAATCTTTTTCTTTATCCTTGTTCGCAGAACAGTCTCCTGTTCTGCGTTGCGGAATGTATTCTCAATCGCTTTTACAGCGAATTATCTGCTCGTTAATGTTCTACCCTTTCTGTAATCGTCGAGGAAAAGCGTTCGCTCCGTGGAATTTCGTTAATTCGAATCGGAACAAGTGGTCATTAACTGTTAAACATCCGATGGACGTAATCACAAGGACCCCTGGGAAAATATAGAAAACTGGAAAATTTTCGATCAGCCGTAATTATATTCCTCTGTTCCCGGGATTTCCATTTATTGTCAATTCTTTTGTGTGCGTGTAATGAGTTCGTATAATTTCTCTAAAAAGCCAATGCGCACACTACATGTATTTTATTCGCTCGTCGATCGCTCGTTTAACGAATTAAATTATTTCCGCCCGAAAAATTATTTGTTGCTTTCAACGAATGTTATTTTTTAGTTTTCGGCACGAGCAAGAAATTTGGAGTTTACGTTTCGCGAATAGAGTCATCGTTAGAAAATTAGGTATACGTTCAGTAAAAGTTTGCAACTGATTGCTAACATGTTACATTTGCTACATATATTGGCTTTAAAACTTTACCTAGTTAAATGAAAGTTGTTTTGTGTTGAAATTTGGTTGCAACTGAGGTTGAATTTTGGATAGAAGCATCTCAAGTGGTTATTTAAATACCTTTGAAAACCGACTAGAATTGAAAACACTATTACAGAAGAAATGCAAATAATAGAATATCTTCGTTTTTATTTTTTTTTTTTTTTTTTAATATATAGACGTTTGCATCCTCGAATAAAACCTTCCTTGTATCCTTCGACAACGACCTTTCATTTTTTAATCGAAACATTAGAATTATCATTTGGCCCGACGTATCTGGGTCAGTAATATCAAAGGCGAAATCTCGAGCTCGTTAACGTTTAAGCCCTTTGTCTAATTGAATATCGTTTGCCTATTGATCCAGAAGCAGTACCTCAATGTCTTCAATTAACTACGAAGATTTCGATGGCTTTGCTATGGAAACTGCGTCCTTCTAATCTCTGACAACAGGTTATATCGCATAAAACGTGCTTAATATGTAAAAGATATTTAAAAAACTTTATTGATATTTCTAAATTGAGGTATCGACAAAGTAATTATCACAGCGAAGAAAAATGTTTTCATTACTATCGTTTGACCATTTGTGAGAGATAGATGCAAATAATTATTAATGATTGATTTGTATCAAGTTTTTTTAGATCTGTGCTTATTTTGCCCGACGCGACCGCTCATGCTGACATCGGTGGTTTTCGATCGGCCTGCATAAAGCTAAAATACCAGCAGGCAAGTCTCGACTAGAAATTGTCTGTCGAAATTGTTTGCTTTCGAGTCACTGTATGTACTAAAGATATGTTCCTATCCGACTGAATTCCATTACGCACATATCCTACGTGTTTCTGCAGTCGTAGCTTTGCTCTTACGAAATCACCGATTGTCTCAAGATTCATCCGAAGATGATATTACGCCAATGGAGAAATTTCTGCTGGATGTGGCGTTAAATTAATTTGGTGGATAACAACAAACGAAATATTCGTGCCATTGGCTTTTATCTTTTACTCTATTTCAAAAACATTTCTATGATATAAAATGGCGTAGCACAATGACACGAAGATGGAATACAATTCGGAAAATGTGATATGAATAATAACTTTTAAATTTTATAGAACATATTAAGGAGCTTTAATTAAAAATTCAGAGGAGTTTGAAAATTTTATATTACGCTTCTCGTTAATCCACGTATTTTAATTTGTTTGTTTCAGGTTCTTATGGAACAATGAATAGCAAGAACACAGTTAACGAGGAAGACCTGCAAATTTTGAAATAAGAGTTTTTACTGGATGGAATTCGTAATTCGTCGTTACAAAACTTTGTCAATTAAACAGCCTTTGCGAGTGTAAGGAATTTCAGTGCAAAGAAATCTTGCGTGGAACAATCGGAACTCGTCAAATGTATAAACGGTTTTGTTTCGGTACTAATGACCAGATTACGGCGATGAATTTTAAGAACTAGAACAGAGTTTATTTCTCTGTAACTCGGCGTTGAATCGAATGTTTTAATCAATGCTAGTTTTTCAAAAACGCGGCCTAAATCTATCTGAGTACCAAGCACAACGATAAAAAGATTTTATAGTAACATCCGTTCCATCCTAGTTTTTGTTCTACAGTAATATGCAGTTGATGACCAGCATAGAAAGTGTTTGAAATAGCAATTTTTTGTCTTGAAAGCAAGCTCAGCCGCGTTACGGGTCGTGTCTATGTAACGTATATAGTGTATTTCGATGAAAAAAATATCGTTAGCCACGAATCGCAGGTGAAAAAGCTGCTGGCTGTAGCTTCTCGGCTCGGTCGATCTGAGTCGAACACGCTGGCTGGATGTTTAAATATAAAAACGGGGCGAAAGGGCCGCGACAAAGGCTTTTTTAATAATTCGTCTGTGGCACACACGAGAACTCTGTATATGCGCCCGTGCATAGATACATTCCTTTTCTCTCTTTACAATGTATATAAAGCTAAAAACGAAAAAAACGTACCTTTCCTTTTTTTTATATTATATATATTCTCTCTTTTTCCAGCTTTCTCTTCTGTACTCTTTTTGCAGTAGCAAACGGATCGGTCGTAACAATACGCGGTGCACTCGCATCGTTTGACATAACAATAACTCCGGCCGAATTCACCACACCATGCCAACGGGATCTGGTACACAAACGTAAAACGTTATGGTATACCACGGTCGACCGCAGCAGATTGCCGATTTTCTAGAATCGGCCCGTGTCTCGAACATTTTACGAATTGCGCGGTTATTGCTTGGCCAGAACTTTCCACTGCGCATTTTTTCACGTTTGAATACGCATACGGCGTGCGGTTATCGGATTGGGCAGGTATAGTTTCTATAAGTTGCGAAACCTTGTAGGGAAATAGGATGCGCTCAGTAATAAAATCGCAAATCAAGCTTCGAATCATTTTCGAGATCGATTGGGATGTATCGTGGTTACATCGTTCGATTTTGTTGATGAACGCCGTTTGTGTTCTGGCTTAAGAAACGTATGAGACCCATTCGACGCTGTTTGTTATTTCCTTGCTAACTGGGTCAGCCAGAAATTCCTATAATTACTAAATTAAAAGTCTATTTTAACTCTTTCAAGTACAACTGGTACAATATAATTTGTTTTAAGAGAGATATAGATATAGATATAAACAGAGACAGATATAGATGGATAGAGAGAGAGAATGAAAGAGAGATAAGTCATTGACAACACATACTGTACCTTAAATACTATTAGATAATTATGGGCATGTTTCATAGTTAACTAGGTTGCGAATGTTCGCGAATTTAACAGTTTCTAAAAGATAATTCTATTATCTACATTCCATCGTGATGTTTGAAATAATTATTCCCATAGCTGTCATCAAAACCGTCGGGAACAATTATTTTCGAATAAATAATGAGCTACACTCCTCACCAGAATTTATAATTATTCGCAAAGCTTTAGTTTCTTGTTAATAGCGACGATGAAAATAATTATGAAGAGATAAACATCATTCTCCGTAATATTCCTTTATTTGTAAAATGCAAAATACAAGCCTACAATTCATTTACCTAATGGTTTTGTACAAAAAATCAGACAATAAGTTATTAATTAATTATTAATACATTCAATATTAACTATTTCATTTAATATCATAATATTAACTATTAATACTTTACAAATATCTTATCATCCGACCTTGATAAAATATTATTGCGAATCTTTTCTTTCCGAAATAATCGTTTTCAAGCAAGTCCTCCTTTATCTTATCCTCTATCAAAAAAGACAGCCTTACTTGTTGCGCAAATTTGCTCCTCTCGTTCGGGAACTGATCTCTATCTGTTAGCAGAAGATCGGTTATTTCTAAATAACCTATGATTGTATCTCCGACAGAGTTCCTACCACGCAACTTGGCAATCCTGCCAATTTTAGGTTCGCATTAAACGCAGAATGCAGGGAATTTCACGGTAATTAGTTTGAGAGGTTGTATGTACAATCCAAAAGGGAACAATGTGGCAGCAAATAAGTTATGAATAATAGTCTCTTTCGGATAAAGAGTTATTCAAACCGACAATTGACTATTTTTTGTTTCATTACTATAGATCTCTAAAAAAATAATCGAGACCATAGATCGTCGAGATTCTACATCTGACTCGGATGATCTAATTGAATTTACTAATTTGAAATTTAATGGATGTATTTGTTGCAAAATTGTTCGCAACGCGAACACAGAGTGCAGTACCGCACAGCTGCTTATTCTGCACTTCTATGCGTCGATAATCATTTTCAACTTCGAAGAAAGTAGACTTGAATTAAGTACATTGTACAGTAACCAATTACCAATCAAACTTCAGAGTACGATCGAATCGAAAACAACGCTTGTGTAACATCTGCATTTTTAAATTAATAAATATATAAGTATATTGTATCTTATTAAAAATTCCAGTGACATTGTATGTATTGATTTGTTGTACATACTGAAAATGCAACTAAGCAACCGGTACTTGTTAAAAGTTTCCAATGTATAATTTTCATCTATAATCGATGCGAGTCCGATAAAATAAACCTAGCACGAACCAAAACAGATACATTTTTTAATTTAGCATTAAATCACGGAAAATTGTTTGCGATCATCTTTCTCGTTATCTCGAAACCCTTCAGGGTCGAAAAATGATCAGCCTTTGCGTCTTTGGGAAGTCAATTTTGAGCCGAATCAAAGTTCAAAGCGATTAAAAAAGGAAGAATTGAAAGCAAAAGATCCTTTAATCTCGCGAATATTCCACCCCCCTTAACTACCCTCATGCCAATGCCCCAACTTGTCCAGAATCCCTCGATAAAGTAGAACCGACTCCGCACAGCGAGCATCTAGACTGCGCATCTGTGAAGCGTATCCCTTGTGAACAACCCTGCCCATCAACCCCTAAACTCTGAGCGTGTCACACCCCAGTCGCACGTTCCAAGTCCAAACATCCACTTACTCCGGTGTGACGCCACTTTTTCGTCGATGGTGTGGAGGAAAAATCGAATTGAAAGAGAAGAAACCTAGTTCGGTCGTGGAAACCAGCGGTGCGAAAGGGTTCTTGATTAATTTCGCAAGCATGGAAGAGGGTAAGCGGCAGTGGATCGGAAGGCAAGAGAGGAAATGCACTTATTGGCCAGCGTCTGCGTACACATATTGATCTGTGGCGGTGGCTGTGGAGTGTCTACGGGTGTCTACGGGTGGGACATCTGAAACTTGTCCAAAAATGTATTTTTGTTTGCGGCTCGCGCGTTTTCTCCTCATCTCTGCTGTTTTCTGCGTTGGTAAGCGGTTATAAGTTCGGCAACGTGATCAGTTTTATTGCTCCTTTTAAGTTGTTTCTTGGGTATCGAATTTGGGGTGTTGATCATCAAATTGTTCTTCAGGTCTCTGCTCCGAAGATGAGGAGAGATTGGTGCGAGATCTGTTCAGAGGGTACAACAAACTCATCAGACCCGTGCAAAACATGACGGAGAAGGTGCACGTGAATTTCGGCCTTGCTTTCGTGCAACTGATCAACGTGGTGAGAATCTTTGATACTCGAATATTTTAAAGATAAAATTTACTGTAAGTGAAGGTGCTTGTGACAGGCAGTATGAGTGTCAATTTAAACCATTCTGTAAAACTTCTCAGTAATTTTTTGTGAACACCAATATCATTACTTATAACATAATGTACGTCACGAGTCATGTAAATATTATCTATGGGTTTTAATTAGTTTATAGAATTGTTCATTATATAGAAAAGGATTAATATCAGTTCTAAAGTAGAAACACGAATGTGGGTCATTTTTTAGAACGAGAAGAACCAAATTATGAAATCGAACGTATGGTTGAGATTTATTTGGACGGATTATCAATTACAATGGGACGAAGCAGACTACGGTGGAATTGGAGTTCTCAGGTTACCACCTGACAAAGTATGGAAACCGGATATTGTACTGTTTAATAAGTACGTAACCTTTGAAATTTTGTACTTTTGTATTTATATATCGCTGCAATACCATAACCCATGTATCATTCGCACAAATTTCACTTTAAAAAGACTCCCCAATTCCAAAGAACCATCAACTTTTCCAATTTCCAGCGCTGATGGCAATTACGAGGTGCGCTACAAAAGCAACGTTCTGATCTATCCAAATGGTGACGTTCTCTGGGTTCCACCAGCGATCTACCAGAGTTCCTGCACTATCGATGTAACTTATTTTCCTTTCGATCAGCAAACATGCATCATGAAATTTGGATCGTGGACTTTCAACGGCGACCAAGTCTCTCTAGCCTTGTACAACAATAAAAATTTCGTCGACTTGTCCGACTACTGGAAGAGCGGTACCTGGGATATCATCAACGTTCCAGCTTACCTAAACACTTACAAGGGCGATTTTCCAACGGAGACAGACATCACTTTCTATATCATCATCAGACGCAAAACTTTATTTTACACGGTGAACTTGATTCTTCCAACGGTTCTTATCTCTTTTCTCTGCGTGCTGGTATTCTACCTTCCAGCAGAGGCTGGCGAGAAAGTGACGCTAGGGATCAGTATTTTACTCTCATTGGTCGTTTTTCTATTATTAGTCAGCAAGATTCTGCCTCCGACGTCTCTGGTGCTTCCACTGATCGCTAAGTATCTTTTGTTTACCTTTATCATGAACACGGTCAGTATTCTCGTCACCGTGATCATCATCAACTGGAACTTCCGTGGACCACGAACGCACAGAATGCCACAGCTAATCAGAAAAATATTCTTAAAGTATTTGCCAACGGTATTAATGATGAGGAGACCGAAGAAAACTCGTCTAAGGTGGATGATGGAGATTCCGAACGTGACGTTACCAACTTCTACCTATTCAGGAAGCCCGACAGAGTTGCCGAAACATTTGCCAGCCTCGTTGACCAAATCGAAGATGGAAGTGATGGAACTATCCGATCTTCATCATCCGAACTGTAAGATCAATAGGAAGGTTCACCATACGACTAGCAGTTCTAGTGCCGCTGGTGGTGAGGGTTTGGCAGATAGAAGAGGATCCGAAAGTTCAGACTCTGTGTTGCTCAGTCCGGAAGCCAGCAAGGCAACGGAGGCTGTCGAATTTATCGCTGAACATTTAAGGAACGAAGATTTATACATACAGGTGAGGAATCGCTCGATCGTTACGTTACAATTTTTTGGTTGTTACTTGTGGGCGAATGTAGTTGAACAGTGGAGCGTAAAAAGCACGAGAATTTGTTGTTAATATGTACACGTGTTTCAGACGCGAGAAGATTGGAAGTACGTGGCGATGGTAATCGATCGACTGCAGCTTTACATTTTCTTCATTGTGACGACTGCGGGTACCATTGGGATCTTGATGGACGCCCCTCACATTTTTGAGTACGTGGATCAGGATCGTATCATAGAGATCTATCGTGGAAAGTAATTTCACGAAATCTAGTCGATTAAAGAAGGAATGGCGTGTCATTATCGCAATAATTTTCATTTTACTTCCTTCTTTCGTCATGTTCGATTCTCTCTTTTGTATACTTTACGAGTATCGTAGATCGAATCGAGATCGAAACGGAAAAGATTAATCTCGAAGCGTGGGCGAAGAATAGATATAGGAAATTTTAAAAACGTTGCTTGGATCGTTTTCACGTAGCAACATAAAAGTTGCTGATAAAGTTATTTCCTCGTTTGCCAAAGTATAATATCGTTGATTTCTATTTATTTTATAGAAGAACAAAGGTACTTCATGAAAAGATCACGAATCGATGTTAATATTATGAAAGTGGAAGCAGGAACGACGCTCTCATGGATCTTTTATAACGATCAATCCTTTCTTCATTTTATACCGAGGAACGATTATCGAGGTTTCAAATATTACACTCGTGAAACTATCAAGGAACGAAGCTCAACTGCACTCGTCATACAACTATATACATATATTTCATTCATAATACATCATATACCAGATTTTGTTTCAATTTGTTTACTCCACGCGTTGAATTCTGATTTTCTTCAAGTCTTATATTATTCGTCACTTGAAATTTATATTTTGTACGACACACGTTAGTTCGAAACATTTCGTTCATTCCTCATATTAATCATTATTGCATCCACAATTATAATTGTCTTCCTTGAAAATCTTGGTCATGAGTATGCTGAAACGAGTGCGGAATAAATGTAAATTGCGAATCTAATATTAAAATTAATATCCCATTGACCGTGCATCCTAGATGAGTAATTGGTTAGTCGGGATTAAGAATAAGCATAGAGCGTAGATATCAAATAATTTTGATATTAATCGTGCAAATTACCGTTGCCATTATTATAATCTAACAGGACTCGTGTTTGATGATTCATCGCGACGCAGAACATCGAAGGGCCGTGACAACGTTTATCAATCGACAGATACATTTGATTTTTCTACTTTATATTTATTATATTGGGGAAAAAAGTCGTTCGCTGTATTCTCATCTAATTCGTATTAATTATTAGTCCAAATTTTATTTGAATATCGCTGAAATTCACAAACAGAATTTTGCAATTAGTCCGTTAGTTAATTAAATAATACATAATTATACATAACTTCCACATTGTTACACGCTCCGGTTCTTTGCAAATTTTTCAATGGAATCACAAAATTGTATTCTTCGATAGAAATTTCAACAGTTCGTAAAAAAAAAAGAGAAAAAAAGAAGAACAACGACAAGGAAGGAGAAATTGGCTGGTCAGATTCGCTGACGTCACCGCGGAAGCGCACATTAGAAGCACAATGTCTCGGCCTTGCGTATTTAATCGTTATTAAAAAGGGAAGAAAAGTAAGAAATTATATCGTACGTCATATACGAAGATATGATACCCACGCTACATGTATATTGTACAGAAAACTGTTAAAACGGTCATGTTTTCTCTAATAGAAAGTTTGTCTCATACACAAAGAGTGTTTATGGTTGTCGATTTAACGATCGTTGATTTTCTCATATGTATCGCCTATAGTTGTGCCTCGCGAATCATCCCAATTGTTATATATGATGTTACTGTATATTATACGTATACGATTTTCGATTTTTATTTCACTAATCTCCATTATTCAGCGTAACGAAACACGCATTTCAGTCTTATTAAGTCACGCACGATCAAAGCCGATTTCTTTCCAAATCGAAGTTATCATTTACATCGATCGATCGATGGAAAAACACTTCAAGATAATTGCATGTCCTTTTGATAATTTTATACGTAACGGCGAAAGGAGAAAGGCGTATATCTGTTTCCAACCTCCTTTCACGAGGATTGAATGACCTGGACTTTTATAAAATTTTAATATCTACAGCGAGGGTATACTCTGTGTGAAGGAAGGACGATCGATGGCAAAGGATTTTGAGGTTCAGGTCAAGCGTGAAAAGAATATTGCCCGCGTTTTAACAAAATTCATTGTTGAAGGTTTGTGATTCGTTGTCCTCGATGCTTGTATGGAAATCTGATGTGTATGAGTACCTATTCCCGATTAGAGTAACGAGTTGATAGGGTGACACGTGTCTTCCTTGAACGAGATACAATAACTAGAATTTAGTCCCCCCAAGAATGAAGTAATTAGATGATGCTTATTGATTTCTATACATTTTACTTCCATATATTTTATAGCGTTGTTCACTCGAGAATGCGAAGGGTGATTGTGTAATGAGAATCACAATGAGACGATTTTAATGAAAATTTTACGAACCACGTGAAATTGAAGATGCCAGTTTTAAATAGTCATCGGGTTATGGATGACTGTATTTGATAATTCTTGTATTTTACTTGTGAATAACTTCTTACCTATTACAATTGCAAATCAAAGTTTAAATAAGAATCGAATTTAGAAAACTTTACAACTGGCACCTTTGATTAACCCTAGAATATGAATGCAACTGATTTTTGCGTCTTTTTTTCATAGCTTTCATTTTAAAACATTTTCCAGGTTATAACCACTCGATGATAATCCGTTAAGTTTTGATAATTTAGCGACTATTGTGGATATACACGTATATAATTATTACAAGTAAAAATAAATGCGATCAATAAAAGAAGAAGGAATGTATCTAGTGATGTCGGATATTCTGGGGTTAATGTCATTTTATGCATGTAGGAATATCTTAAAATTTATTGCGCTAACATAATATTATTGTTTGTACGTTTGTATCTTGGATTTAATGTTTTTAAACTTTTTTATCTTGCGATACTATTGAAATACGTAACTTTTGTTAATGTATATTAATATAGCGAATTCTCGTTAGATCAGGACGATTTTAATCGAAATAAATATTCGTTTAATAAATCGAAATTAAACGAAGAGAATTTTTTTAATGACAGATAACACCATAAAAAAACTATAAGTTGTGGATTCTCTCATTGGTTCTCACGTGCAGCAATTCGAAACTTGTTCCACCTGAACTGTACATCTAGTTATCGTTAAAATTGAATAAGTCGAATTATTTTATCAGCGTTACAACAATCAAATGAACGTATTGGAATTTATCGCACAAAAAGAAACGTAATTAGAGCTAATTAATAAACACCTGAACAAATTTTTCATTCATTTCCTTCCATTTCAAATACACGCAAACTTGCCAAATGTTGCATCATTAATTTCAAACATAACTGATATTTCTGTCATTCGATATTTAACCGATGTCAACTGATATTTGAACGAAACGTGTTTCTCCTTTTTAGGTAATATGTATCTTAAATTATCATAAAATCACAGAAGCACTATCTCGAATTAAGGAATAAATTAATTAAACGTTATTAACGACTTTTAGATTCTGAAACGTTCTTATGGAATTTTTAGATTGTAATATTAAACATTGCCAAACCGCTTGAGAAACACGAACGTTGAAAGAATTTCAAAAATTTCAAAAAAAGAAGAAAATGATCGCGGGTTAACGTACAATCATCGTGAAAGTAGCAAAGAGAATCTTTATGAAATAGTTTTCGATACAAGGAGTTTGAAGATGAGCGTCCAAAGATGGGAAATCGTTAAAATTTAAGTGACGAAACACAGTTATATCTCTTGTCTACTAGAGAAGAAGATGATCGTACTAGCGAATGTACATTAGTCTATCTTTATGTATTACGTATAAATATATAACGAAAAAGGTAAGAATACGAAACGCATTGTTGAGTCGAAAAGTTTTGTACTTTATTATGCATGAGAAACACTGCGAATATGTTGATTCGAAACATTGGGTTTTCATTACTAGACATAATATTGAGATAGATTCATAGGTAGTTCTTTTTACAATGAAATAAAAATTATTAAATGAATCGAGAATACCTTCTTTCTAAATCAAAATGCGTTGCACCTAATAATGATGTAAATAAGAATGATCGATGGAGAATGTAAGAAGGAAGTAAATGAAAGACGTCTATATTCATTTCATTTATTTCAACAATTTCATAATAACGTAATAATGTTAATAATATTACAATGCGGCGATTATGTGTTCACCAGTTAACAGGGATTTTCATATCGATCAACGTTTCTGCCTCGAAAAAGAGCCCAGCGTAGAAATATAACAAATTTTTTTATTATTAGTAGTATTAGTACTATTGTTATTATTATTCTTACTCTTATTATTATTAGTATTAATATCATTCATTATTATTATTATTAATATTATTATTATCTTACTTAACGTTCTTCAATGTGAATTTACTATTATCAGGCCAGGCTGTTGTCGAGGCATAATTAAAAGTCAAGTGAGATCGAGGGTGAGTTAGTTCAATTGCATCATCCCACCAGGGTCTACGGAAAAGGGAGTATCGTTTTCATCTTTTCTCTCTCTCTTTCTCTCTCTCTCTTTCTCCTTTTTTGAATATTTTGTTTTCTTTTTTCCTCCTATATAATATATTTGCACGGGTAACGCAAATTTTATTTCTCATTTGTTTCTTGCTTACTCTCTCTCTCTCTCTCTCCCTCTCTCTCTCTCTCTCTCTCTCTCTCTCTCCCCCTCTTTCTCACCCTTTCATATTCTCTCATTCTCTCTCTTTCTCTCATACATTCTCTGTTTTTTTTTCTATTTCTCTTTCTCTCTCCCTTTCTCACCAACTTTCTCACTCGCTCACGCATTCACAGGCTCGAAATATTATTTCTGTGTTATCCTTCGTTAGACTCGCACGAACTTTTTTCTTTTTTTTTCTATTAACCTCGTAACGACTTCGACGACTGGTGTAACGGTGGACAATAAAGAGACGATCCTTCGTTAAAATATATTATCAGGGAAGAAAAGGGCGTAGGTAGAGAAGAAATAGATCTCGTGCATTCATATCTCAGCGATCTGCGTCGCTGTTTTGTCAACGACAAGCTTTTTATACACCGGTCTTACTTGAATCGTTTCTCTTCTTATATTCGGTTCGATTTTAAATTCTAATTAAGATCAATCGTCCCCAGCTACGGTCCTTTATCATATTTTTCTTTTCGTTCCGCTTTTGGCTTCGTTAAGTTCGATAGATTGTTCTGAGATAATTGGATATTTAGCTTTTTTCTGTTAGTTTAGAGAGAAAATGATCTCGATAAAAATCCGAGCCTAACTTCTAGTAAACTATCTTTTGAATCACCCCTATAATTTACTGTTCGAAGTAATATTACTACAGTCTCTATTGATTACAGGCTAGCGTTTAATATTCAGTTACTCGAATATTGATTGATTTAGTTTAGCTTTTATTTAGTTCCCTTCGGTGTGTATTACGAATATTTGGCGCTTAGCATTCAAGTATCCTTTTAAATGTACGTAGAGATTATATTTTTTAATAGTACACGTTTAATTCTTCCTTTCCTTTTTTTTTTTTGTATTTTTCCCTTTTTCTTTTTTGACTTTAGAACTTGTTCATCCTTGTTTTTTATATCTTCCTTTTTCTCGCTTTTTTCCTCCTTTTCTTTCGTTTCCTAGTATTTGTCTTCAAGCATGAACCTTATCGGCTTGTGGCTTTTTTTGTGATTTTTTTTTTGATTTCTTCTTTCCGTTCCTTCGACTCGGTTATCGACTACTGATCGCTTAAAGAAGGAAAACAGAGGAGCTTTTACAAACGGTGAATCGTTTCGTAGTGAGAGAGTGTGAGAATTTTTTTGAGTTGCCTATTGTTGTTTTTCGAAATGAAGGGAACGAGAGTTACCTATTCGAGAATTAATTCGAAAGTTGACTTTTAGCCCTTTGTCGTCCACGTTGTTTCTTACGGCCGTACTACAAACGCCTCTTTGTAAAAATTCATTTTAAATTCAGTTGGCTGTGACGCGTTTTCTTTAGGTTTATTTATTTTCTTTTATATATTATTATTTTTAATTTCCTTCTTTCTCCGTCCGTTACATCGAGAATACCGCTCGGCGACTCCTCGCACACGGAAAATCACGACAGATTGCAAAAATTTTAGTCGAACTCTTGAACGCAGTAAAAATATGTT